CCAATACATTGGGTCGAGACATTTTTTTACAAGTCATGTCGGTATACTGAAAAAAAATTTTGTTACCATTTTCAATGAAAAAAGTTATGATGAAAAAAAAAATGTAAATGAAATAAAATCTAAAAAAAAAATCCAAAATTACTACTTACTTTTTTACTTCAATATTACTCAACACTATATATTTACTATATTTATATTTAAACTAGTAAGTGATAATTTTAACAATGATTCTAAATGAGAATTCGTTAGTCAAGATCTGTTTTTAATTTTTATAAGTTTTAAAGTTGAAAAGGCGTTTTCGCAAATGTAGGTACTGCCAAACATTTAATATATTGGTAAGATTTCATTATGCTACAATGGATGTTTTTGAAAATCGACTATCTTCCAAAATTCGATTCCGGTTGGTGTATTTATTTTAAAACTAATATCACATTGCAAATCGCAAAGACAATTTTCCACAAAAAAGAAATTCATAGCTCCGATCTCGACCATTCTGTCTAAGATCTCAACCAAAAGTGATTTTTTGCAGTGAAAACTTTTCGACAATACACAAACGAAATGCCTTTGTATTAGTACGAAAAACTGAGAGACTATGCAATTGATGTTGTTTAGTTCGGCAACAATCAAAGAAAGTAGGAAAAAACAAAAAATTGTTTTTGTATTTAGCCTTTGCCTATGCTTAGAGCAACAGACGTATATGTCATTTCATTTCCCAATAGACAGAGCAATTCCAAGAACAAAGGAGCAACGAGAGCAAAAAAACCGCACTTAAAAAATTTGAAAATTGTGCAATCACCGTGCTGGGGTTTCCCTAAATTTTATTCATTGTGCATTATTTTTTTAGGAGGGCGTCATTTGAAGAGCGCTGTTGCTTAAGGGGGGACATCTGAGTAACAGGCCAAAAAAAAAACGGTTTTTCTCGAATTTTTTTTGACCAAATCAAAAAAGCTAATCGAAAATTTGTAAATGGGGTTTTATTATATTATATTTAAACTACACAAAAAAAATTTTTTTTATAAATCGAAAACAACATTGCGGCCCTGCAGCCATTATTCGTAGGCCCTATTTTTTTAAAGGGGGTCCATGGCCGAACACCTAACGTCCTTAATTTTTGATCTAGAACAAAAAATCAAGTTTTGTTAGTTTCTTTATCTCAACGGCTATCGACACACGTAGGATTTTTTCGATATATTGATTTTTTCCAAAATGGCAAGTGATTGAACAAAATTTTCCATTTTCACTAACAAAAAACGTCACAAAATTGTTGATAAAAAAAAAAGTAAGCAAAATAAAAAAAACGTAAAAAAATCCTACGTGTGTCGATAGACATAGGTATTCTGAGTATACTGTCAAAATTTTAGATCGATAGGTTAAGAGTTGTTCGAGTTAGGTGTTCGGCCAACCCAAAAAAAGTGGTTTCGAGAAAAACGAGCTTAAAGTTTTAATTACTGTGGGACATACCTGTGAGGCATCGCCGCAGAATGGAAAATTTCGGCACTTAGACACTTTTGCGGGACTCTATCTTTTGATATGTAATTTTTAAAACCCTAAAAAATTTTTTAAGCGAAAAAAAAAAAATTTCGATTTTTTCAAAATTCTACTCAGATGTCCCCCCTTAAGTTGCTTTTGGTAGAATTTTTTTTGTAGACACCTGTAAAATCATGCCAAAGCAACTGATCGCGATAAAGAAAAAATTATTTTATTGGCTGAACAAAATGTGTTAAATTGGCAAATATCGGCTGAAACACATTTCAATGAAAGCCCAGTGCGTCGCTTTTTAAAAAAATATCGTGAGACAGGTGAAGTAAAAAGGAAAGAAGGAACAGGTAAATGCACCACGTCACGAGAAGATCGCATTACTATGAAGACGAGCCTGCAGGATCGTTTCAAAACTGCAATGCACATAAGACCTGAGGCTCACAAACAGTTTTCAAAAGATATTTCGGAGCGAACTGTTCAACGTCGGCTTAACTCTATGGAAATGCTCACAAGATCACCTGCAAAAAAGCCACTTTGAATCCGCGAATAAAAAAAAATCGTCTAAGCTGCGCCAAGGACAAGGAAAATTGGAGTGCTTCTGATTGGTCAAGAGTGCTATTTTCAGATAAGTCCAAATTTAATCTCATTGGATCTGATGGAATCCTCAAGGTGCGCCGTAGACGTGGGCAAAGCTATTCTGCTAATTACTGCATAGCCACAGTAAAACATTCACCGTATGTTATGGTATGGGGATGCATATCCAAATATAAAACGGAATAAATTTTAATGGTTTAGGGTATGGTCAATGCAGAAAAATACAAAGAAATAGTTTTAACACGTTCTACCCGGCGTGGACCACTGGTGGTCCACGAGCAATTCGTTTATTAGGCGGCGTGTACCACCGCACAGTGGTTGCGCCCGTAGGCCATAAATCGAAAAATCGACTTGAAAATAATAAGTCAACATGTAAATAATTTGTCTCTAAATTGACCACATTTTGTCATTGCAAGCTAGTTTTTTCCGGAAATCTAACGGGAAATTCTAAAAATAGAATGCAAAGTGTGAACACGTGTTCAATTTTGCTGCTGCAGCTACGTTAGTGAGCTTTTTGTCAAAACAAAAGTGAAGTTCAAAGTGGTCGGGCGTTCGCATCTGACTAATTACATTTTATTTGTTTTAGATCTATTTACCCATTTTTGTCTATTTTTTGAACGTCTTTTTCATGTTTAGTTCATGATACAAATATTACATTATACAATTATTATATTATTATAATTTTATCATGGTTTAGTTAAAGTTTTAGTTGTGATCCCACGAAATCCCACAAATAGTATGTATGTTAATGTGTTCGTCTGACTTTTAGGGTACTGTATGCCTAAAATCAGCTGCAAAAATTTGCAGATGTTTATATAATCGGAAATATACTGATGCTATCTAGCGTTTACCAAGGGAATGTTTTTCCTTATTGTGCTTTTGTTTTGTTCTCGTCGCTCGTGTTTGTAATGTTTTTGAAATATTTTTATTTACTTATTTCATTGAAATTCACTTTTTAGGAGATTCCCATAAGTGTGCATTTACACGACTATATATGTATTTTTAATCTTTGGTGTGCAGAAGGTGGCACCAACGCTGGAAGATTAAGATGCAAGAGCAAATTGAAAACAACGGTTACATTCCCGAGCAAGCCAACTACCAAAACGAATTGATTGGATATGCAAAAGAATTGCTACTTTTTGGAATAGATACAAACGGAAGAAAACTGCAATTATGCAATATTAATCAAGTTGATTATCAGACTACTTTTGCCTTCTGATCCATTTATTACAGGACTAAGGAAATTACCTTGCAAATTTAAGTCCAATTTAATGAAATTAACGTTAGATTTGTTAGAAGAATTTGATTAACTATTATGTTTTCTTTTTTTTTTTGATTTAATTTATGTTTTTTTATTTTTTTTTGATATGGCGTCTAATTTGTTTACAAAAGTGTATTATTATTAAAGTATTTGAATATTACTTGAAACTGGTACTTATTTCTGTTTACAATTTTTGCTATGGCAGCTGTATGATACAGGTTTCCGATTTGGACTATATTTGGCAAGCATATATAAATCGGGTCCAAGCATACAATTTGTAAGTTTGATTTACATATCTCGAAAAACAAAAAAGGAATCATACTTTCGTCTATTGTAAGCTCTTTGCCAGGTTCCATGTTGAAAATTTATGTTTATCATTCGTAATAGTGTGCTGATTTTGGATAATCGGTCACCGGTATATACTTCCACATTATCACAAAAATGCTAATATTGCGGAATGTCAAAAAAACCGATCTCGTTGCATAGCACTTTTTATACGACAGTTAAAACTGTAAAGCGTTTTATATAAGCGAGAATATAATAATAAACCAATTTATTAGAACACGAAATCTAAAAAAAAGTCCCAAACTACAAATTATACTTATATATTAGCAGAATATATTTATACCCTTGCAGAGGGTATTATAATTTTGTCCAAAAGTGTGCAACGCAGTGAAGGAGACATCTCCGACCCTATAGAGTATATATATTCTTGATCAGGATCACCTCCTGAGTTGATATGAGCATGTCCGTCTGTCCGTCTGTCTGTCCGTCTGTCTGTCCGTCTGACTGTCCGTCTGACTGTCCGTTTCTACGCGAACTAGTCTCTCAGTTTTGAAGCTATCGTCTTGAAACTTTGCACACACCATTCTTTCCTTTGCACGCAGTATATAAGTCGGAATGGCCGGGATCGGCCGACTATATCCTATAGCTGCCATATAACTGATTGATCGGAAATGGTATTACTTTGGTGTTAATAGAGATAGAGAGTTCACGAGAACACGACACGAGAGCTATTTTTGGCAAAACATTACGACATGCCAAATTTCATAAGGATCGGCCGACTATATCTTATAGCTGCCATATAACTGAACGATCGGAAATGACCCAACTTTCGTGTTTTTGAAGATAGAAAGCTGAAATTTAATACAGATTCTATTTTTGGTCAGTTGATCCAACGTACCAAATTTCATAAGGATCGGCCGACTATATCCTATAGCTGCCATATAACTAAACGATCGGAAATGACCCAACTTTCGTGTTTTTGAAGATAGAAAGCTGGAACTTGGTACAGATTAAATTTTGATCCATCCTACCAAATTTCATAAGGATCGGCCAACTATATCCGATGTTAGCGATATATATCCGGTTTTAGCTGCAAGGGTATATAAACTTCGGCTCCGCCCGAAGTTAGCTTTCCTTTCTTGTATTAATTAAAATTTTGTCAGTAAAAAACTGAGAATAGGTTTTTTTCTTTTCCATGTAACATTATTATGGTGAATTAGATAGTCAGCATCTACTAACATGCTCAAACATACATTGGACTCATAGAAATTCGTTTTTAAAGGAATGATAACTTCTGCTAACTTTTTTACATGATGTTAAAAAAAATAGATTGCATATATGTGGATATGAACATTTTTAATTGGTTTATAACTGTACATACTTCTTGCTTTTATTTTTTTGAGGCATCGAATAAATTTCAACAGAAGGCGCATCAGACATTGCGGATACGACAGGAGTACTTCCAACATCTTGGCGTATTGAAGAATCTAGACAAAACAAAAATGATATAGAAAATTATCTTGTCATTATATGAAAAAAACATTCTAAAACCAACAAAATTTTTAAGCTGTGGTAAATTTGAACAGAATTTAAAATATCTTGTGAATCACGGTTTTTAAAAATAAATTCAAAAATTATGAATTTTTCCTTTTCTTACTAAGAATTCCTTAAACTGCGTCTATATGAAGTCATAAAATAATTTATTTTTAACCAGTTTAAGATACCCTTGCAGAGGGTAATTTTGGTCAAAAGTGTGCAACGCAGTGAAGGAGACATCTCCGACCCCACAAAGTTTATCGACTATTCCGGCAGATGGTCAACCAGGACCGAAAAAAAAAAGTCCATATTCCTCGATTCTTTTTTTGTATTTTCATAAATAAATATCCAAATTTTCATAATCTATTGGATTCATAGCATATCTCAGCTTTTAAAAAAAAAACAAGAAAGCAAAGCTAACTTCGGGCGGAGCCGAAGTTTATATACCCTTGCAGCTATAACCGGATATATATCGCAAACATCGGATATAGTTGGCCGATCCTTATGATTACATCATAATAAAACCAATTAATTACAATAAAGAATCTAAAAAAAAGTCCCAAGCTTCTATCTTCAAAAATTCGAAAGTTGATATTTCTACCAAATACCATTTCCGATCGTTCAGTTATATGTCAGCTATAAGATATAGTCAACCGATCGTTATGAAATTTGGTAGATCGGATTGACTGACCAAAAATAGAATGTGTACCAAGTGCCAGCTTTCTATCTTCAAAAACACGAATGTTGGGTCATTTCCGATCGTTCAGTTATATGGCAGCTATAGGATATAGTCGGCCGATCCTAATGAAATTTTGTAGGTCGGATTAACTGGCCAAAAATATAATCTGTACCAAGTTCCAGCTTTCTATCTTCAAAAACACGAAAGTTGGGTCATTTCCGATCGTTCAGTTATATGGCAGCTATAAGATATAGTCGGCCGATCCTTATGAAATTTGGCATGTCGTATTATTTTGCCAAAAATAGCTCTCATGTCAAATTTGAACTCTCTAACTCTAAAAACACCAAAGTTATACCATTTCCGATCAATCAGTTATATGGCAGCTATAGGATATAGTCGGCCGATCCCGGCCGTTCCGACTTATATACTGCGTGCAAAGGAAAGAAGGGTGTGTGCAAAGTTTCAAGACGATAGCTTTAAAACTGAGAGACTAGTTTGCGTAGAAACAGACAGACGGACAGACGGACAGACGGACATGCTCATATCAACTCAGGAGGTGATCCTGATCAAGAATATATATACTTTATAGGGTCGGAGATGTCTCCTTCACTGCGTTGCACACTTTTGGACAAAATTATAATACCCTCTGCAAGGGTATAAAAACCGGAAAAGTCAAAAAATGTAATATTTACCTTTTTTTTACTTTTAAAGACATTTCTATGTTTATTTATTTCTCAAGGAAAACACATGATGTGTTTGCTCTATTTGTACTAGATCTCTTAATAACAATCTAATAAGACGAGAAAAATTTAAAGAGGGCGAAAAAATGTTCAATTACCTCTTCATTTGTATTTTGATTTTTAACTATGTTCTAATCGTACGTTCGCGACCCAAAACATAATTTTATAGTAATTGCTTCGCAAAAAGTGAAAGCAGGTAGATGGAACTATATGTGTTAAGTCATTTTAGTGTAAACTATTGATATTTAACAAAAAATCCAGACTTTTTCAAGAAAATTTTTTTATATTAAATTTTAAAGTGGCATAAAAAAATTTAAAAAAAAAAAGAAAATATAAATTTATTTATAAAAAAACAAGAAAGGAAAGCTAACTTCGGGCGGAGCCGAAGTGTATATACCCTTGCAGTTAAAACCGGATATATATCGCAGACATCGGATATAGTTGGCCGCTCCTTATGGGAATATGAATATATAATCCAATTTATTACAATACAAAATCTAAAAGAAGTCCCAAACTTCTATCTTCCGATCGTTCAGTTATATGGCAGCTATAAGATATAGTCGGCCGATCGTTATGAAATTTGTTAGGTCGGATAAACTGACCAAAAATATAATCTGTACCAAGTTCCAGCTTTCTATCTTCAAAAAAACGAAAGTTGGGTCATTTCCGATCGTTCAGTTCTATGGCAGCTATAGGATATAGTCAGCCGATCCTTACGAAATTTGGCATGTCGTATTATTTTGCCAAAAATAGCTCTCATGTGAAATTTGAACTCTCTAACTTTAAAAACACCAAAGTTATACCATTTCCGATCAATCAGTTATATGGCAGCTATAGGATATAGTCGGCCGATCCGGGCCGTTCCGACTTATATACTGCGTGCAAAAGAAAGAAGGGTGTGTGCAAAGTTTCAAGTCGATAGCTTTAAAACTGAGAGACTAGTTTGCGTAGAAACAGACAGACGGACAGACGGACAGACGGTCAGACGGACAGACGGACAGACGGACATGCTCATATCAACTCAGGAGGTGGTCCTGATCAAGAATATATATACTTTAAAGGGTCGGAGATGTCTCCTTCACTGCGTTGCACACTTTTGGACAAAATTATAATACCCTCAGCAAGGGTATAAAAAAAACTAATGCAGATATTTAATTGGAAATAGATAGAAAGCTACATGCCTCTATTTTAAAAGTAAAGTTATTGCATTAAAATATTCCATTCCAATTCGCAGATTTTTTGATTTTGCTAGAGCAAGCCAAAACCGACTTCCATTTCGCGTACGTTCGCAACCTTATGTTTTTTGCCAATATTATGAAAATGAAAAATCCATTAAAACCATAATTTACACTAAGAAAAAAACTCACCAAATTCTATCGGAAACAAAAAAAAATTATCAGAAAATGTTTTTTTCTTCAATTTTTTGGCACTAATTGCGTACGAACGTACGTTCGCGACCCCAGGAAATGCCCATATACAGTGGCGAGCACATGTGGATACATGTTTGTCACTTCAGACTTCAAGCTGTTGTAAAATCCGTAAAAATGAATAAATCTCTTCAATTTTTTTTTCTATTAATCTTTATTAATATCTACTAGATATACAAGGATCTAATATTTACATAATAAGTTGCTTATATGTATATTTTTTTATTATTTGAAAAAAGTCAATGTATCCACTTTTGCACGTTTTGGCTTTTTTTAGTTTTTATTCAAATTTTAATATTTGGTCCAAAGACCCTTTGCCTTAATTACCATTTTAATACGTTTGGGCATACTCTCGACCAATTTCTGCAACATTTCATTTGGAATACTTTTCCATTCCGCTTGCATCCTGGCCCAAAGTTCATCAAATCCTTTTGGTGGACTCTCATACTTTGCCAGCCGTTTCTTTCGCAGAACCCATAGATTTTCAATAGGATTAAGATTAGTGAGAGCAAGTCAGCTCGTGAAATTGCAAGGCACTGGATATATGTCACCAAACTTTCCTCCAAGTCAGAAAACGACGCAAGGTTACCGCGCCTGATCCGCCTAAATCGCGACCATGCCTCCTAACGGATAGGGCTGCACGAGCTATGGAGCACCACTTGACCGATAAGAACAAGACAACCCCCAAGGAAGCTCTTCACAGAATCGGTCTGACATCGTCAGTTGAACAGAAGAAACCAGCAATCTCTGACAAAAATGTTGCAGCACGTCTTAAATTCTGCAAGGAACACAAGTCCTGGACGGTAGACGACTTGAAAAAAGTGATTTGGTCAGACGAGACCAAAATAAACCGTTTTCAGTCCGATGGTAAGGAGTACTACTGGCACCGGCCCCACGAAAAATTAAAAAAACATCAAGTTAAGGAAACCATGAAGCATGGAGGAGGAGGCTTGATGGTGTGGGGCTGCTTTACGTGGTGGAACAGTGGCCCGTTCGTGAAAATCGATGGGATAATGAAGAAGGACGACTATCTTCGTATTTTGGAGACCAATCTTCATGAATATATAGAAAAATGTGCTTATCCCATTGAGGAAATCACTTTTCAACAAGATGGAGACCCCAAACACACGGCTAAAATCGTGAAGAATTGGCTAGGTCATCAAAGTTTTAAACTTATGCAGTGGCCAGCACAGAGTCCGGATCTTAATCCCATTGAAAATCTATGGGCTCTGCTAAAGAAACGGCTGGCAAAGCATGAGAGTCCAACAAAAGGATTTGATGAACTTTGGGCCAGGATGCAAGCGGAATGGAAAAGTATTCCAAATGAAATGTTGCAGAAATTGGTCGATAGTATGCCCAAACGTATTAAAAAGGTAATTAAGGCAAAGGGTCTTTGGACCAAATATTAAAATTTGAATAAAAACTAAAAAAAAACCAAAACGTGCAAAAGTGGATACATTGACTTTTTTCAAATAATAAAAAAATATACATATAAGCAACTTATTATTTAAATATTAGTTCCTTGTATATCTAGAAGATATTAATAAAGATTACTAGAAAAAAAAAATTAAAGAGATTTATTCATTTTTACGGATTTTACAACAGCTTGAAGTCTGAAGTGACAAACATGTATCCACATGTGCTCGCCACTGTATATTCTTGATCAATTTCACCTCCTGAGTTTATATGAGCATGTCCGTCTCTCTGTTTCTACACAAACTAGTCTCTCAGTTTTAAAGCTATCGACTTGAAACTTTGCACACTCCCTTTTTTCCTTTGCACGCAGTATATAAGTCGGAACGGCTGGGATCGGCCGACTATATCCTATAGCTGCCATATAACTGAACGATCGGAAATTACCCAACTTTCGTGTTTTTGAAGATAGAAAGCTGGAACTTAGTACAGATTATATTTTTGGTCAGTTAATCCGACCTACCTAATTTTATAACGCTCGGCTGACTATATCTGATAGCTGCCATATAACTGAACGATCGGAAATGCTTTTTGGTAGAGATACCAACTTTGGTATATTTGAATATAGAACTTTGGGACTTTTTTTTAGATTTTGTATTATAATAAATTGGGTTATAATATCACATTCTCAT